CTCATCTCTAAAGCAATGGAGATGTATTTGGCTACAGTGCCTACAATGTCCACACACATGTCTGTGATCATGTCCTGGGTCTCCTGGTCCAGAGACCCATGCTTTATTGTGGTCCATTGAGTCTCAGACAGTTGCTGAACGAATGTGACCACTATGGGACGAAGGATGGTGGGCTGGATCACAGGAATGGTCCCGACCATGTTCATCGTAGTCCTTGTGCTCTGCATCGTTTCTTCTGTGTTTCTGGTTGTTTGTAGAAACGTAAACCTCTTCTCTCTGCAAACTCTTACACTGGTTCAAACAGCGGAACTCTCTTTCACCTACAATCTTCTGTTGGCTCGGAAGTCTGTCTGTCTGTTATGACATCATCACAGTCTTTAATGTCTGTTATGACATCACGTTCTTTGATGACATCACATTCTTTGATGATGTCATCACCTTTCATCAGCTTCAGATTTTTTATGCCAGATCGATTCACTAATCTTTATTGACATGAAGAAACTGAACAGAATGACAGTCCTCCGACAACCTCAGACAGTTCATTCTTGCTGTAATTATTATTGACACTAGTTTTGATAACATTTCCATTTAAGTCCTTCCAATTGTCATTAAGCCACTTATTTGACCTCATATACTTGATAAGATGTTTATCAACACAAAAATACATGTAAATGAAAGAAGATTAACATCATAGTGATGTTTAAGAGAAGTTTGTGTATGCGTCTCATTATCTATTTAAAATGTGTAAAATAGCACGGTGATTTCTGTGTTACCAGTACGCTTGCACCTGATCCACATTCAGAGGGTTTTCAGTTTTGTTTTATTATTTTTCTTTTGTTGTTGTTGTTTTACATGTTTCTTTATTTTCTTGACATTTCCTTTATTTGATGTTGTACCGTTGAAGATTCAGCATGTTTGAATTGACTTGTACTGATGGGGAGGCTTCTGTATAAGCCCTTTAGGCATCTGTCATCTGCAAAGTTTGGCTGAACTTCTTAGTTTTAATATGTAATTACTTCATGTTTACTTTTGTGAAAATGAAAATGCCAAACAACTCCACCATTAGATAGACAGATATACTTTATTGATCCCAAACTGGGAAATTCTCTTATACTGCCGTGACCCGGATTCGAACCGGGGTTGCTGCGGCCACAACGCAGAGTACTAACCACTATACGATCACGGCGAGCTGTAAAGAGAAAGCAACAGGGGGTGACTCAACTTACCCCACTCTCTTCTAAAGGTAAAGGTGTGCAGGTATCTTCTTACCTAAAAACTGAGTCAGGGTTACTTGGAGCTGATTAATACACCAATAGACAAGACCTGTGTCTACATTTTAAAGTTGAAGTGGAGTCTCTAGGTGAAAATATGCAGAGCCGGTAGGTGTCTGGAAAACTTCTATGGCTCTTTTTTTTCTCTGACTTTTTCCATTGACTTCAATGCAAAATGTTACCATAATTTTATTGCAACTTATGATGCGAAAAATTCAAATACAATAAAAAAAATGAATTGAGAGAATTGTAATGGACGCTGTAAGTGAGAGAAACGACGTAGTGAGAGAGACAAAAAGTCAGTGAAAAACACCCCAAATATGTTTAGAACTACAAATGAACTTTCTTCTGTCGAGTCTTGTTATTATTATTATTTTTTTATCACAATACCAACCCTCCTCCTTTATCCGGGCTTGGGACCGGCAAAAATGACTCAATTGAGACAATTTGGCGGAGTTACTGAGGTTTTTTTTTTTTTAATACAATTGTATTAAATTTGGGTAAACCGAAGCACTCGGAGAAAACCCCTTCTCTAGCCAAAGTGAGGCTGTAACTCAGAGAGTAAACTGGACACTGAGGCGGGACCTCAGGCCTCAGGGAAAGTGGAGTCCCTCCCACCCACCCTCTTCAAACGTACAGGCTTTTTAGTCACGTTTGAAGATGCGGGTGAAGGGTTTGAACACAGACTTGAAGAAGCCTTTGACTCCACTCTTTTGTTTGGGGATCAGTTCTTCTTTAAAGGCCTCAATGATGTGGGTGAGGACCTTAGGATCCTGTACAATTGTGAACTTGATCAGCTCGATCTCTAACTTCTTGGACAGTTTCTTGTGCACCTTCTTTACCATCTTCCTTACGTTGGCCATGGACAGATCAACCTTGACTTTAGAGCCCTCCATTTCTGCCCACAGCGCCTCTGTCAAAACTGAGATAGCCTGGTCTCCTTGGACATCTATTGACCAGGTGCCAGTGATCGTTTTCACCAGCTTACTCGCCAGAACTTGACAGGTTAGTCTATCCCAATAATCCAGTGAAGCTAGACCGCTTAGCCCAGCTTCCTCACGGATGTTTGTCTCCTCAGTGACAGGAGCTGGTGTAGCTGCAGACTGGGAGATCTCGGTCAGTTTTGGGAAAGCTTGGTTTTCTTCCACAACTGCCTCGATCTGCCTCACAGCAGCGGTGGCTCGGTCTGTCCCTCTATTGTGCTTCTCCGCCTGCGCAACCAACCAGTTCCACATCATCTTCATGAACCGGTCCACCTCAGCGCGGATAACACCTGCAGAATAGAGCTTCTGTTTCTTCTGATAATTCAGCTGAGACAAGATGAATCTCACCAGCATTGTTTTGTCATTTTCAAACTGGTCATCAGTGATGTTTCTGGCCATCCTCCTGTAGAAGCACATCACATCTGTGCACTGTCTCTCCGTTTTCTCGATCATGTCGTCCACAATATTTGAAACCCCCGTCATGAGTGGACTCACGACAGAATCTCTTTCTTCTACAGAGGTCTTTTCAGTGAGTTTGCGGAAAAGTTTCATGATACAGTTTTTTGCAAACCTTTTTGTGAAAAACATCTTGATCCTTCTGATGATTTTTTTCTCTCTGGTTTTCTGTGCGTTGGTGGGTGGTGTGGCCTCTCTAACAGAAGAAGCTTCTGGCTCCTGTGAAACGCTGTCGCCACAGACAATTTTGACAATTTCAGAAGCGGTTTCGTTTGTGTCCCTGTCAGCTCTGGACAGATGTTGGGATAATTCCTCCTCTGAAAAGTAATCTTCACTGTCAGAATCATCCAGGTCATCTCTGTGCTCTGACAGGATGGACTTGACCGCCTGAAATGTTTCATGTTTGGGGCTTTCACTGTGGAACATTTCAGGTTCGTCCTCCATGAAGGGGGTCACAGGGGTCTGAAAACGGTCCCCAACCGGCTCTTCTTCCTTTACGTCTTCATCCTGTACCTCTGTTTTGGTAGGAGTCAGACTCCAGACGTTGCGGCTGTCAGGATAATCACAATAATAACTACAGCACATGAGCATGATCTTTCCGATCCGTATAACCATCTTTCTCAGTCTGTAGCAGAAAGACTTGGTGGCCTGCTGCCCAGGGCCCCTGCTGACTCCGTTGGAGTTGATCCGCTCTGTAACTTCTTGGACCACGAGATCGTTCACCTCCTCTGTGGTCCTGCTACGGATGTCCTCTTTGATGCCCAGTACATCTGCAATGGTGGAGTTAATGCTGTCTCCCAGGATTGCGTGGACATCTTTCTCTGTGATACTCCCCTTTGGTGATTTGGGAGGACATTCTTTGCTCTCCCTCATCTCTAAAGCAATGGAGATGTATTTGGCTACAGTGCCGACAATGTCCACACACATGTCTGTGATCATGTCTTTGGTCTCCTGGTCCAGAGACCCATGCTTTATTGTGGTCCATTGACTCTCAGACAGTTGCTGAACGAATGTGACCACTATGGGACGAAGGATGGTGGGCTGGATCACAGGAATGGTCCTGTCCATGTTCATCGTAGTCCTTGTGCTCTGCATCGTTTCTTCTGTGTTTCTGTTTTTTGTAGAAACGTAAACCTCTTCTCTCTGCAAACTCTTGCACTGGTTGAAACAGCGGAATTCTCCTTCACCTACAATCTTCTGTTGGCTCGGAAGTCTGTCTGTCTGTTATGACATCATCACAGTCTTTAATGTCTGTTATGACATCACGTTCTTTGATGACATCACATTCTTTGATGATGTCATCACCTTTCATCAGCTTCAGATTTTTTTTATGCCAGATCGATTCACTAATCTTTATTGACATGAAGAAACTGAACAGAATGACAGTCCTCCGACAACCTCAGACAGTTCATTCTTGCTGTAATTATTATTGACACTAGTTTTGATAACATTTCCATTGAAGTCCTTCCAATTGTTATTAAGCCACTTATTTGACCTCATATACTTGATAAGATGTTTATCAACATAAAAATACATGTAAATGAAAGAAGATTAACATCATATGGATGTTTAAGAGAAGTTTATGTATGTGTCTCATTATCTATTTAAAATGTGTAAATTAGCACGGTGATTTCTGTGTTACTAGTGCGCTTGCACCTGACCCACATTTAAAAGGGTATTCAGTTTTGTTTTATCATTTTTCCCTTTTTGTTGTTTTACATGTTTCTTTATTTGCTAGTCAGTTAGTTTGTTTCAGATTCAGCATGTTTTAATTTACTTGTATTGATGGGGAGGATTCCCTATCAGCCCTTTAGGCTTCTGTCATCTCCTGCAAAGTTTGGCTGAACTTCTTTATTTTACTATGTAATTACTTTATGTCTACTTTTGTGAAAATAAAAATAACAAATAACTCCACCATTAGAAAGACATTCGGGGAGAGTGGGGTAAGTTGAGCCATTTTTCAAATTTCAGATCACTAAATCAATCATAGTTTTGTCTCTAACTAGTGTATCTGCATATATTTCAGGATGTTGTGCATACCTGCAAACACAGAATGAGTGTAAACCGAACTGTCTTGATAATATAGCATGCCAAAAAAAGTGGTCAACTTACCCCATGTGTGGGGTAAGTTGTGTGTCAGAAAACCGCCTCCTTCAGCACTGCAGGACGAGGAGGAAACAGGAGAGGTTACAGGAGGCTGTTGGACCTCAGAGGAGGATCAGAGCGAGTCTCAGATGTTCTCATACCTTTAGTGACCTCTTTGTCCAGGATCTGCAGGAGGATGCTCTCATTAAACATTGTCCACATTGACAAAGTTGACGTGATCGGGGTAGATGGTCTGTTCCAGATCTTTAAGCTCCTGAGGACAGAGACAGCGGTCACTGGAGAACGGACTTAGAGCAGGAACATGTAGCTTGTTAAGGTCCAGGTGAAGGACCCGTCTGTTTGGACTTCCTTTCACAACATCTAATCCAAAAACAGGTCAACAGGTGACAGTAAAAAACTCACAGCTTTGCAGGTGGAGGCCAGGCTCTTCTTGGTGAAGGGCAGAGTGATGGAGACGAGAGCCTCTCTGGAGATCTTCTTCCTCACCGTGCTGCTGTCATAATCATATTGCTGCAGGAGACACAGAGGAGACACAGAGGAGACACACGGCATCACGTCATCGATGTCAACCGGATCTGCCAGCCTACGAAGCCCTGTAATATGTGAGACAACAGACAATTGAATTTCCCTATGGGGATTAATAAAGTTCTTATCTTAAGTATTAATGAATGAATCCAATCAAAAGAATAAACCTTTTCTGGGGAGCCAACTAACTGGAATTAAATTTCCTCATTGAACTGTTTAGTGAGCCAGCCACAGCCTCTCTGCTACATACCTGATGATGCTGAGGGTGAAGGTGAATGTGATAGCGATCTATCCATCTCCATAGCACCATCCTCCTCTTCTGTCTCTGATACATCACTGTCTATGGTCATTTTCTCTGTGAACACAGTGACTGACAAGAGTAAACCCAGAGCATAACACAATCACCTTTTATATTTAAAAATAGAAATAAGAGTTAGAGGAGTTGAACTTCAGTCGATTTGGAGCCACATGGATTACAGTGACTAGAGTGCAGCTTCTTTCATCACAAAACATCTTTAACCATCTTAATTTTTAGAGTTTACTGTCTGATTTCATTCAGAGAACTCTAAAAAAGACCTAGACTCGTGTTTTTCTAGGCTTCATATAAGTTAAAATTATAAGTTAAATATATAATAAGTATAAATTATATATTATAAGTTAAAATTGTCAATAAAACCTCTGAGAACCTCTGTTCCCAGAGGAGCGCCTTCGCACAGGTTCCCTAGCCGGTTTGCACCGGGTCGAGCAGTTGGCATGACGGGGAGGGGGGCGCCGAGGCCCCGTGTGCGTACCCCCGTTCGCCTCCTCGTTCCCATCTGCGGACGGAGGAGGTGCTGCACTCCGTCCGGCAACAGCTGGGCCCGGATCCGGCCTTCCTGGCAGCGGAGGAAAATCCGCAATACTGAGCACATCATACCTTGAGGATAGCTGGAGATCGAAATGGGGTTTCAGGCTGGTCCTCCCCTTTGCAGCCGCTGTGGACCGTGTGGTGGAACTCCGTGTGTCGAACCTCGGGTGTGGAGTGAAGTCCAGTGCGGGAGCTTGCAGTCGCTTTGGCCTTGCACCCTGAGACAGCCAAGGGTCCCCGGGTTGAGGACGAGCCGGCTCAGCAGGAGCCTCCGCGGGGGCCAGTGGAGCCCTGTCACACCGGCGTCTGCTCACCTCAAACCGGCGTCTGCCATCTCTTTCTACATAACCATGTCGAAGCTTTTGTAAAAAGAGATGTCACGGTGTCTTTCCGCGGCTACGACGGCTCGCATTTCCACCTTTTAAAGGGATGAGTCGATTATTTAAATCAACAGGTTGTCACTGCTTTCAGCGACAACCTTAAAACCAAGCGCTGCTCACGTGCACCCAAACCAGCCCATGCCTACGTCACAAAGGAACTGGCACAGAGCCAGGTGCTCGTTAAGGCGGGAAAAGGATGAAAAATGGTTTAACGTTAACTTTTCTTCTTTTTCTACACATTTTAATTGTTTCTCCAACTGTATCGAATTAATAGAATAGAATAGATAGAATAGAATATTCCTTTATTGATCCCCCATGGGGGAAATTTTTTTTTGTCGCAGCAGCATCACAGACAAAGAGTGCAAAAATGCAGTTATAAAAATAAAGATCCTAATCTTAAGAACTTAAATAAATGTTATAGATTAAAAAGGATATAATTAGTGATTATCTGTGGTTAATATATAATTTACATAAATGTTTGAATTGAAAAAATACACAAACATCTCAAAATACAAGTATTGAAAGAGTTTTAATGTGAACTTTGCTGTTTATCTGCTAAATATCTGCTCATAGCTTAAACTACTGCAAGACACACTGAGGGTGGGGGATGGGAATGGGTACCGTTTTGTTAATAAAAGCACAAACAGTGGATAAAGGGTGAATTTCACAAACTAAAAAAAATAACATGGAAAATCTAAGGAATTCATTGTAATTATTCGCCAAAGGGTATAAAAAGGGAGAAGAGAGTAGGGATAATTCTTTTCTTTTCAGAGCTTGCTTGGTGAACACCAATGAATTATTGACCAGCAGCTTTTTTCTTTTTTGTGTGCCCAGACCTGAGGAAGACCCAAGCAGGGTCGAAATGTCGTCGATGATGCACACATTGTTTATACACAGTTCATGTGGAGTTCATGTATTGTGTGTGTGTGTGTGTGTGTGTGTGTGTGTGTGTGTGTGTGTGTGTGTTTGTGTGTGTGTGTGTAAAAGTCAAAAAAGACTAAAAATAATTTAAATATATTTAATACACAAAAAAACTCAAACTACTAAAAACAATTTATGAATACGGCTGGACGGAAGTTGCCGCCAGCCTTTCGGGACCAGGGGAACGTGTCCGGTGGGGCGAAGGCCCGTGCATAACCCGCTTCCTGCAGACCCAAGCAGGGTCGAAACATCGTGGGAGCTGGGAGACATTCCCCAAACCTAACCCTAACCCCAACTCTAACCCTAGCCCTACCCCTAACCCTAAGATAAGTTAAAATTAAATATATTAATTTTTTAATAACTAAATTAATTAATTAATTAATAGATAAATAAATTCATTTATCATTAAATATATGTTGTATTGGTTATCTAGTAAAGGGTTAAAAGCATGAATGGCGGTTGAAGGGTTAAAATTTCTAATCATCTACTAAACTCAAAGTGCAGGCTTTTTTTAGGGTCCTTAACTACCATAGTGCCTTTTTTTACTTAAATCCTTTTGTTTTCGTAGTGAGTAACCCGGGTCATCAGGGCTGGTCTCTGTAATTTAAAGACTCTCTCTGTTTCTGCAGGAGGATCTCTGTCCTGAAGCGATTGAAAGTCCCGGAGGAGGAAAGCCAGGACTGTCTTTTTGTCTCATGTTTGTCTGTGTTTTCATTCAGCTGATATTGGTTTGGAGAATTATGTCATTCTGAGAGCAGGGAGGGATAGATGGAGCTGTTCTTTTTTTTGCTTTTTGTTTTCTGCTTGTGTTCCAACAGTTTTATGAATGTTTGTGAATGTTTTAGGATCCTGTATATTTCAATGTGGTTTTTAAGGGGCGTTCAGACCAAACGCGTCGCAGGGTGCTCTGGTGTGTTCACACCGGGTCCAAAGCTGCAGTCGCAGGTCGCGGCTGGTCGCCGGTGACGTCATCCATGTCACTAGCTCAGTTTTCAGTTCATCAGTGCTGCCGCATATCTGTACATCCGCAGTTGACGCCGCCGGCGTTAATGGGTGCATGAAACCATCCGGAGGAGGACGGAGCTGGGTGAATTTCACCGCTTGCTCCTGAACGACGGCTGCTTCCAGCGGTATTTCCGTGTGTCGAGGGCGCAGTTCGAGGACCTCCTCGCCCGGGTGGGAAGCAGCATCTCCCGCCTGGACACGAAATACAGGCGCTCCATCTCAGCTTCGGAACGCCGTCTATCTGTCTGTCCCTCATATAAACGTCCCTAAGCCCCTTCCACCGCTTGCGGCACACATCCACTGCAAAGACACACACACACATACGTTGAAACATGTAGCCTAGCAAGCAGGGGCAGTTAGCTATGTTTTCATAAAACAGTCCGCTCACTGAAATAAATAAATAAACAAACAAGCTCACCAGAAAGCCCGACATCACGGGCCACCTTCCCCCATGCTTCTTCTTTGGCGTTGCGGTCCCGGTACAGCCCGCAACCCACGTCGTATAGCACCGGGTGGTAGCTAACAGATGTGATTAACTGCTCCTCCATTGTGATTCTTCTTCTCCTCTTCCTTGTTTCGCCGGTTTGTTGACGTCAGCAGAGCCCTGATTGGCTGTCACGGCACGGAGTCGCTCCCAAAGTTCAAATATTTGAACTTTGGGAGCGACGCGACTTGGCGTCCTGCGACCTCGGCGACGCGCCTTGGCGACCGGTCGCTAGGTCGCGTCGCAGGCAGCCGGCGGTCGCCAAGTCGCGTCAGGTCGCGGCTGGCCATAGACTTTGCATTGGGAGCTGTCGCCAAGTCGCGTCAGGTCGCGGCAGGTCTGAACGCCCCTTTAAAGTTCTGAAGTTTGTTCTTAGTTCTGACAGTTTGTCGCTTTGTTTGTTTTTGTTCACATAGAAAAAAAGGTTTTATTTGTATTTTTCAGTTTGTTTTTAATCTCTTATTTAGAATTAGTTTATTGATCCAAATTAACCCTGAATTAAATTATATTGTAGAAATTGTTGAAATTGTTCTGAGAAGTGTTGTTGAATAAAAGTTCCACTTGTTAACTTCCTCTTAACGCTTCAGGCTCTCTTTCTTTCAGACCATTGATATCAGGTGTGGCAGTAATCAAAGTGAACTCAGGTGTGATAAACCACAGTTCAGTTGTCCCTTAATAATGAAAACCTTTATTTAAAAACTGCCTTTTGTGTTCACTTGTGTTTTTGACTTTGATTTATATTTAAATTTGTTTAATGATCTGAAACGTTGAAGTGCGACAAACAGGCAAAAACAAGAAAATAACCACTGTAAATACAAACTTCAGTCTCTCTGCAGGTTTGTGATATTTCTCTGTGATCAGTGAAAATGATGTCGGTCATAAATAAATAATCGAAGCATCACTCTGAATCTGTTTTATTTATGATTAAACTTTTTATTCTTTGTGTTGTTTTTTTTTGTCCCAAACCTGAAACCACAGAGTTCACACAGACACAGTTTGAGTTTGGCTGTAGATCTGCGTCACGAACACGCCTGGATGAGATGCTCTGCACAGGTGGAAGGCACGTTTGATGCTGGAGCACAGGTGTGACGACTGACAGAGGTCTGTTACGTCACTATGACGTCTAAGGCACGAGGAGGGGGGGCGGAGGTAAAGGCACTCTGATGAGCTACTTCTTCACTTTGAAAAGAAATCCTTCAGTAGGTCCAAAATAATCACATTCAAAGAAAATAAAATCCACTAAACTTCTTAATATTTACCAGCTCATCTGTGCATGTGCTGAAATAGATCTGAACATGTGACGGAGGGAAAACAGGAACTTAAAAATGAACTCAAAGAGAAAATCAAATGCAGGAATATTTATAATTTACAGGTGATCTCATCTCCTGTGTTTAAAGTTTTTCAATGGAGGGTAAATTCATCATCTTTATTCTGAAATCTCATGTCAGCGACAGGACACAGTTATCTTAGCTTAGCATGAAGGTCGACGATCAACAGACTGAATTTGACCTGAAAAATTCGTCTAAATCTTAGTGGGACTAAACGGACTGAATAAAGTTTTATAAATAAAGTTACGGTCGTAGTTTCAGCAGTCTGTTTCTGTCTGAGAGCTCTCACTGGTGTATCGTAGAAAAGTAGAACCTACATAAAATAAAACAGAAAAAGACAGTTTTGTCCACAAGAGGCGCCAAAATTAATACGTTTTAAAAAGCTCAAGAGAAAATTTCAAAGTTCTTATTTGTTATTCAAAAAAGTTCAAAAGTGAACAACTCTTTATCTGCTAAAAAATACCAAGATTTTCATGTTTGTATGTTTATGTTTGTTTTAACCGTTTGCTCTGAATTCCCTTTGAATCTAATTTTTTTAAAGCTCCTGTCCGTTTGTGTCAGTTTTGGCGCCCTCTGTGGACAGAACAGACTTTGCTTATCTTCTTTTCTTTATGCTTTAAAAACTTCTAAATCTCGTCCCTGCTTGTCTTGTTTGTGCTCAGATGTCGTAAAAAGGCTTTTAAAAAAAGTTTCAGTCGATTTTTGTAAACATAAAAAAAAAACTCCTGATGGGAGCTTTAACTCTCTTTTTTTCAGTTAATCGATTTGATCTGTTTTTAGTGATCCTTCTGTCAGCAGCTGATGTTTGATGAGACTCATTATTCTCTTCAAATCATAAATTTAAAGTTTATGTTTCTGTTTTGTGCAGATTTTTAAAAAGTTGTTTATTTTTATTCAGATTGAGCGTTTTCCTTTAATGCCGAGGAACAGAGACCACATCCTGACTCTGACATGAGATCATCCAACTTTAAAAAGGATTTCAAAATAAAGACTTTTAAATCATAGCATAATTAATCTCTTTAAAAAAAAACATTTTTAAACTCATAATAAAATAGTGTCCTGATCAGAAATTTTCCAAACTGTTAAAAATCACTTTAGTGTTGAAAATCTCCGCGATGATACAGACCTGTTGGTGTGAAGCACCTGACTCAGCTGATAAATCCTTTTTTTTCTGATATAATTAATATAAATATTTCACCACAGATTCATGCATAAGTGTGTTTAAAGTTCATGGAAGCTTTTCTGGATGTTCTGGGTTTTTTTTTCGTGTTTTTAAATGGAGAAATTAAAGCTACCGTCAGATTCTCATTAAAAAAAATGATCTAGTCCTTCCACAGTCAAACGCCGGCGTCAGTTCGTCCCTCGTCTTCACTCCTCTTTGGGGATTCCACTCGGGTAACGCTGCACCAGCTCCTCCACCTCGATCACCTCCACTACCAGGTCCCTGATCGCCTTGATGGAGTCCGGGGGTGGGGCTTCAGGGCTGGCAGGGGTTTCCTCTTTAACCTCCACGGGTGACTCCACGCCAACTGCCGCTCCCGCCTCGATGTCCCCGCCCACGCTGACGCTCTCAGTTTCTGTCTGCGCCTGAGGAGACGGATCAGCGCAGGCAGGTTTCTCCTCTGCGAGTTCGTCGGAGCTCTCAGGTGATTTGCTCACGTTGGCCTCGTCATCCAGGACGTCAGACGTCGTCGAGACTTCGTCCTCGCTGCTCGGCGTGGGTTTGACCTCCTCCGTGGACTCCACATCTGACCGAGACGACTCGCTTCCCAGGGACACGTCCAGAGAGTTGGGGTCTGATGCTGCAGCAGGTTCTGCCTCCCGTCTCTCCAGGTCTTTGCTGACGTCTGCAGCCGTCACTGTAACTATCTCACCACTAGAGGGCGCCTCTAACTTACTCTCTGAGCTCGCACACTGAACCTCCTCCTCAGCAGCTGCAGTTTGTGGACCAGGACTCTCTTCTGTGGTCTTCACCGGTTCGTTTGCAGGATCTGGACTCGTTGCAGAGGCTTCTACCTGTTCTGCTTCTACGTCTGTTTTCAAACTTTCTATAACGGCGGGGAGCGCTGACACGGCGGGGAGCGCTGACACGGCGGTCTCTGCTGCTGGAGCGTCAGAGCTCTGTGTTTGCGTTTCAGCAGACTCCTCCACTGTTGTCTCCGTTATGACAGGAACCACCTCCTCTTGTACGACAGTCTCTGGAGCTGCTGCTGCGTTGTCTTCATTTGTCTCGCTCTGATTGGCTGCCTCTGCTTCCTCCTTCACCGTCTCAAAGACGTCTTCGATGACGACAGCGTCCACCTGTCCGACGGGGACGCTCTGAGGCTCTTCTTTTCGTTCTTCGACCTCCTCCAGCTGGATGAGCGGCACGTCTGCTGAGGCGTCTTTCTGCAGGAGCGCGTCCGTCTCTTTCACCTCCTCCACCTTCTCAGGACTGGAGGACACGCCGTTCATCGCCAGAGGAGACGGCGGTAATGGCTCAGCAGTGGCTTTAGGAGAAGCGAGCGCCATGGAGGGGCTGCCCGGGGTGGAGGCGGACGGAGACGGAGAGGAGAGACTGGAGCGGCTGGACTGACTCAGCAGGTCTCTGCTGTCGTTGAAGAGGTTGTACTTCTTCAGACTGGCCGCCTCCTTCACCACTGCAGGACGAGGAGGAAACAGGAGAGGTTACAGGAGGCTGTTGGACCTCAGAGGAGGATCAGAGTGAGTCTCAGATGTTCTCATACCTTTAGTGACCTCTTTGTCCAGGATCTGCAGGAGGATTCTCTCATAAACATTGTCCACATTGACAAAGTTGACGTGATCGGAGTAGATGGTCTGTTCCAGATCTTTGAGCTCCTGAGGACAGAGACAGCGGTCACTGGAGAACGGACTTAGAGCAGGAACATGTAGCTTGTTAAGGTCCAGGTGAAGGACCCGTCTGTTTGGACTTCCTTTCACAACATCTAATCCAAAAACAGGTCAACAGGTGACAGTGAAAAACTCACAGCTTTGCAGGTGGAGGCCAGGCTCTTCTTGGTGAAGGGCAGAGTGATGGAGACGAGAGCCTCTCTGGAGATCTTCTTCCTCACCGTGCTGCTGTCATAATCATATTGCTGCAGGAGACACAGAGGAGACACACGGCATCACGTCATCGATGTCAACCAAATCTCCGAAACCGAAATGTTCTCGTGTTTTTAGCTGCAGAGGAAATCTGACCTTCAGAACTCGGTGTTTGGCCTTTTCGATGGCGGGGCCGGCGTTATCGGGGTTGTCCTGGACGGCTTTGGAGTACAGCTGCTCAAACGTGAACGATGCATTCTCCATCAGCTGAAACACACACACACACACACACACACACACACACACACATGAACACACACAGGGCAGGGTCGGATCAGACAGCTGCTCCAAATTCAGAGCAGAAAAAATCAAACATCTGGAAATCCTGTCAGTGTGAAATCAAATTAGCAGCAGTTCACATCCGAGCGAGTCCGTCTGAGTTTCTGCTCCGAAACGCTGAGTCGGTAAATTTACAGGAACACACGTTAGCGTCACGAGTGTGTCATAAATGTCGGTTCATAAAATGAGTCAGCCAGAAACGTCCTCGGCCCACTCCGTCTGTCCGGGCTGAAAAATGAGCGCCGAGCGTCTGAGGGAGAAACTGAATGGAAAACACCTGTGCTCTGTGTGTGTGTGTGTGTGTGTGTGTGTGTGTGTGTGTGTGTGTGTATGACTAAAACAGCATTAAAGCTCCAGTGAGGAGTTTTGATATCAATAAAACTGACCTTTTTCTGACTGTCAAAATTCAGCAGCATGAGATTATCTTCAAGCATGTAGAGGTCAAGACATGCACAGACTGTTTTGTCCACAGGGGGCGCCAAAAACAACACAAACATAAAGTTGCTTACAGGAGCTTTAACACACAATTCCTCCTTATTTTTTTATCTGTGTAAAAAAAATTCCGTTTGTTTTGTTTTTGGACCGATCGGACACAGAGTCCCCATCTGACCTTTAAAAGTGATTGTGCCCAGATGATATCAAAGACATGAATGTGTGTGTGTGAGAGTGTGTAAAGGCGTACCTGCTGCAGGTCGATCTGAGCGCTGTGGATCACTCTGCTGATGTTCTGGAAGCCGAATCTCTCCTGCAGGTGTTTCAGCTTCTCCTGCAGGGAGCCGATCTTCTGGAAGCAGCTCTGAAGGTCCGGTCTCGCCATGTTGGCCAGAGCCTGAGACGGAAAAGGGGAACACCTCTTAGTTCTTGGAACCTTTAGATGAACTTAGAGCATTTTTATGGGGCTTAAGTCCCATTTATGAACTTGAATGATCTTCTCCAACTTTATTTTGAGATATAATGTAGATACAACATCAGTTATTTTGATGCATTATGTAAAAGTACCTTCAATTGAGTTGAAGGTTCATTTGACTTAGGGATGAACCGATCCGACATTTGATAACGTTCAGAGGGGCAGTGGTAAAACTTCAGGTTACAACAAAAGGTAATTCAGCGCGGCTTTTCTGTATCAAAATTGGATCGGTATCAGCCGATATTAACTGTAGATATCTGTATCAGTATTGGAGGTGAAAAAAGTGGATCAGTGCGTCCCTACTTTGACTCTTAAAACGACGTCTTTGGTCTCGCGTCCTGAACAAACCTTCTTCACTCGCTCGTTGTCTGCTCCCATCTCCTGAATCACCTGGTCCATCAGGCTC